AAAGTAATGCTAGCATCGTTGTGCAAGTAACTGTCGATACCCAGTCATTTCTCCCTTTTAATATCTGTCCATGGATATGTTTTCTCCCTACATACCTTTCCTAGGTCTATAGTAGCATGATTATGTTTCAGAAATGACTGATTTAGTGTAGGAAATATATGTTAAATATACATCTTAATTTAATCAAATAGGTTTGGAATTTGTTTCTAGTAAGTTATTCTCACTTCTCTAAACAAGACTGAAATCTGTTTTTCTTGAAAATCACCCTTATTTACTCTGTCATTGCAAATGAAACAGCAGAACCAAATTACCGTGTTGTATACCAACACGGAATATCAATTAGAAACAACAAGAGTGTTATTCTTTCCCATTACAGAAGCAAAATTAGGCAATAAATGTAAGGATAACTTATACCTCATGTCTTTTATTTTACTATTTTTCTTTCCAGTTGTCTTGTACCAAAATTTATTTTTTCCAGCTTACACAATAAAGGCTAATTAATTTCTTTGAGAAACATTTTTGCTAGCTCTCCTTTCCTTTCTTGCAAGCTTCTCCCATCCCCCTCTCTTTTATCTTTTCAGTCTCAGGAAAATGGCTGCAGCTGGAAGAAGATGGATCACAGTCTTCTGAAAATTTTCTCTGCAGTCTCTGAGTTTCAAGAGGTGAAAATACCTCCTGATTGAAATTTTTGAATTAATTGTTTACTCCTTCCAAATGGCAAAAAAGCTGTTTTGGCCCAAGTTTCTAATTGATGCTGTCATTTTACATATTTCACATAAATTAATCTGGGCACTAGCATCTAGCTACACATTTACTGCTTTGGATGTTTGTGCCTTTCTTTTAATGAATCTTTGCCATTACTCTGATTTTTTCTAATTAGTTATTCCCACTTATTCTCATTTTCATCTAATTAAAATGCCATGCTAAAAATATAAGTGAAGATTCAGATAATTTGTCTTATAAATGGATGCATAATTAATGAAAGATTGAAGAAAAGCCAACTCAAACTGTGATTTTTTCTGCAGTTTGTTCTTTCCCTAGTGATATACAAACAAACAGCTAAAAGATTTCTGTGAATTTATAAACAGGCATAGGGCTGCATTTGGGTAACTATCTCTGAGACAAAATAGACATATTTTATTAAAAATTTACTATCGTCTTCCTACATTAGACAATTGTTTACAACCATGATGATCTCAGGAATATAGCTATCAATTTTAGTTTCACAATATTTTAAATATGTGTTTCAGTGAGTGAGGGTTTTGTGTGGTCTGCCTCAAAGGAATGAATTCCATCATGCTATGATAATAAGGCTGATATATTTTACGATAAGTGTTGTTGAAGAGGTAATGATGAAGACTATGTATCTGAAGGCACTAAGTACTACAGATACCTAACTCCATGATCAGTTCAACCTTCACCTTCTGAGCTGAAGATAACAAAAAGATGTGAGGTGATGGTACCATCTGAAGTAACCTATAAGGTAAATACACTTCCATATTAACATTATGAAAATGAAAGATAAAGGTTAATTAAAATTTTCCTGGTTTGGGTCTGATGGAGGGGAGGTTTATTTATTTGAGGGGGTTTTATATATATATATATATATATATATATACCTTAACATTGGACCTGAAAGCAAGCCTGCAACCCCTACTCTGAAGCACTCTGATCTGAAAGTATACATCTGAGATAGCATCAGGTAACCATTACACATCTTGTGTGGAGGCTTGTTCCTAAGTCAATATTTTTACCTTTCTGGTAGTTCATCTTCTTCTAATATTAGGAATTGGAACTCTGAAAACGTTGGATTTACACTTGTCTTTGTAGCTATTTATCTAGCCAGTCATTCACCCAGACAGCCTCATGATAAAATGAGTTTCACCTGGGAAAGAAAAACTAGATATGGTAAATATACCACCACAGCTATGAGTCTGGTATTTCCTAAAATAGGAGTTATTGGATTTGATTTGGAACATTATTTATTATCAGTTTATTTAAATTTAATAATTAAAAAAATGTTGGTGCTACTGTATATGCCCAATTCAGTAGAATACTTCTGTTAAAAAAAAAAAAAAAAAAAAAATATGGCCATCTTTCTCAAACAGGACCTATTAGCACAATTTAAAGCCTGAATTTTCAGGATCTGCAACACAGATTACTTTCTGGTGAGGCAAGATCAACAGATAACTGGGAAGGCTTTTGCAGGGGAGAGAACAGGATTAATAGATAACATGAGAATGACGTTTTCCAAAGAAGGAGAAATTTTAGGTCCAAGGATGTATGGAGGAGCCAGGATTTGAGCAGACAGCACCTCCTGCTAGGTCCATCACCCATGCATGATGCTCTTACCACACAACATGTGTTGCTGCATTAGTGGTGGAGTCCAATCATGTGGCCATGGGCTTTGGCTGATGACCTTTACACACAACCACACCTAAGAGAAGTGAAGCAGCAATTTATAATCCCTTTTATAGCCCTGTCACGGGGTTTTGCTGGAGGACACTGGAGCCAGAGGGATCCTCCCTGCCAAATGTGAAAGGCCTGTGACAAGAAGAAATAGTCTGTTCAAAATTATAACTGTAGACAATAGCAATAGAGATTGGTAAGTAACCTAAATATATATTAACTGCTACAAGTTTATCCAGCTAAGTACGTGAAGAATACCTTTAGCTACAGCGCCTTCTTGTTTTCCTGGAACAGGTTGCAGTCAAGCAGCACTCACAATCACTGGTGGAAGTGTCAGAGCACAAAAAAAGGGTGGCCAGTGACAGGGGGTCTCATCCAGACCAGTACCCCATCTAGGTGAAAACTCGTTCTTCTTCCTCTTTAGGACACTTGCCCTAAAAGAAAGTGGGTGAACCTTTCCTTTCAGTGCTCTTTTACGTGACTGAAGGATAGTTATATCCCCACATTACCTGAAAGTTTTCTCACCTGCAAAGCTCTGCATCAGTTCTGAGTTCATTCCAATGAGGGCACTGATGCCTCTTCTTCACTGGCTTGCCAGTTCCTTCCTCAGTGTGTCTGATCAGGACAAAGGAACTTTATAGTTTTGATAGTGTTGGGGCTTAAACATGGGCTGCTATTTCTTCTTATAGTCACTTCAGCTAATCTAATGGATGCTTATGAGCTTTTCTTGGAGCATACCCTGCAGCCCAGCTGAAAACTAGTGTTCTGTCTTAAACTTGACAATTATATATCAGATCTGAATTTACCATCTATCACTATCTACAATCTTTTCCAGGACTTGCTTCTGTTACAATGTCTGTAAGAGCAAAGCCATACTGAGTAACTGTTAGAGTACTTATTAAGAGAGTAGTGAATAGAATAGTGATGCTGACGTTACTAATAATCTGTCTTAACCTTCCATGTATTTAAAATTCTGACATCCCTGAAGGGATGTTATGACTCGACCAGACACCTACACAACTCCAGTGTAACTGATGTCACGTGAATCCTCCCCTCTCACAGCTCAGGGCAGCAAACCAACAGGACTGGATTCCAAGCTGGAATTGTTGATGTTACTAATAGTCTTCCTTAAACTTCCACTTGCTCAAAGTGCTGACATCCCTGAAGGAATGCTATGACTCAAGACCCAACACCTACTGGAGTGCAACTGATGTCACATGAATCCTCCCCTCTCCCCGCTCAGGGGAACAAACCAACAGGACTGGATTCCAAGCTGGAAAGGTCAGTGCAGAGGTTTCTCAAAAGAAAGCTGAAGTCTTATAAACACATCAGCAACTTATTTACCCACACAGATAAGTGGGAAAATAGCGTAGGACCTATAAAATTAATTATAATATTTTCAAGAATAATACTTTTATTATTTCGATTTTAAAACTTATTCTTGATTCTATTGATGCTATTTTCCTGAAAGTCTCCTCAATTAATAGAGAAGATGAAAAATATTCAAATTGGACTGATATATTTCTTTTAAATTTACTGTCTGAAGTTTGTAGACAATTTTGTCTTGCTCTAATCCAGTGTTTAAGGTACTTTAAACACACAAAACCCAACCAAACCTCACAGAATTACTTCAAAGAAAATGGCCATTTGCAACTTTTCTCATGGAAAAGAAAATCTACATAGATAACAAATTATGTGGTTGTTTGCTGAGTGCTCTTTTGTAACCATTGTTTATCTGAGAAAAAGCAGCTGAAGGTCCTAAAGTCCTAGAAGTAGGTGAGGTGAAGGTAGCTGGACGGTTTCCTTTTTGCTGGAGTGTAACTTAGTCAGAAACTAATTTAATCAGTGGAGGGGTGCCCTTTGTATTCCCTTTGCAGTCTACAAGACCATGGAGGTTTAGTAGTAGACTTTAGGTCTTTATAATGACCATTTCCACATAAGACAAACATTAAAAATACAGCTGTTCAGGTGCTGCAGGGCTAGCATCCAGGTTGATTTGGCTACTTCCAATGCTCTTACAACCTGAACGCTGCAGTTGTCCCAAGGCCAAAAGACAAAGGTGCCAATGGTAGCACCTTCCATATGTCACTGCTGCTCCTTGTTTGGCACCTGGAGCCCTCTTCAGAGCACCTCAGCCCTAAGCTAAGCCTGACTATGTCTGTCTGGGGGTGAGCTGTATTGCACAGCTGTTCCTTCTTTACCCAAAGGAATTAGGCAGGCAAAGTGAAGGTAAGAAGCTTACTACAGCTAGTAAGAAACACAGGGACAAAAGTGTTTATAGCATGATTGTACAATCAGTACTATAGCACCTCAGCCCTTTGGGAGGGTGGATATACCTCATGGGCAGCACAGATTTGGACATTTTCTGGTCAGGCTGATCCATCTGAAACATCATCTGCTGCTCCCCAGATCCCATGGGGAGGATAGAGCATTACTCACAGCTTGCTAATCTGGCAACTCCACGTCAGGGTCACTGGAAAGAGGGAAGGGAGATGGAGACCTCTGTATCTGAGTCACCCTTTTTTGCCCAGCCCTCACCTTCCATGATAAAAGCCCTGCAGACACAAACACCTGGGTCACAAACCTTCACAATGTGTCTCTATTTTGGCATACATGCTCTTCTTATAATGACTGTTACCCTGAGTCCAGCAACTGCCACAGCACAAAGTGAAGAAGATGCCACTGGAGAAGCTGTTTATCCTCCTCTGTGGGACCTCGCCCCTGAAAAGCTGATGGATTTCCCAGTAAAGAACAACAAAATTATCATCAATGCTTGGAACTATCAAGAACGACTGGGAGTGTATAAGAACTTACTAAACTCTTCAGCCAAATATTTTACTGCCTTTGGATCCCAAAATTCTGGCAATATTCTCTGGGGATTACCGTTGCAGCATGGGTGGCAATTTCGTACAGGTATGAGTTATGTCCTTAAGCTGCTGGAACAACAAAGTGTTTACAGACCCACTTCGGGTCATCCTCTCCAAGGTTTCTGCCTTGCAAGCCCAGTATAGCCACAGACAGTGTAGATTTTGACATATTGAACTAAACTGTCAATTTGAAAAAGAAATCTTTGCCTTGCTGAGCAATAGCTATTAAACTTTCTAATAGGAAAATGGGACTGGTGAGAATCCAGAAGATCTGTGGTATAGATGGGCAGTATTTCAGTTATCTGAAAACCTTTGAAAAAAATATTCCCAGTTACTTCAGTTTATAGTAGGTAGATTTCAGGGCCTGCACTCTGCAGTGCTGTTCTTAGATTGTTAACTAATAAGCTTTCTTTTGTTGTTAATGTTATGATCTTCTGATGGTGGTTTGAGTTTAATTTCCAATACAGATTGTTGAAAGTCCACCTCACCATCTGAGAATTTGTTTTCATTTGTTATATTTGATCAGTTCAGGAGTAATATTATTTTCTAAATATGTATTTTTACAAAAATTAAAGTTTGTTCTGTTTGTTGGGACTGGGTTTGTTTGGTTTGGGTTTTTTTATTTATGTCCAAATTCTAATGCTGGTCTTTATCCAGGGCAGTCATTCTTGCTTGCTTGTTGGCCATGCCGGGGAAGCAGACACAGAAACACGTGTGAAAGGTCCCTTGAGGCTAAGGCTGCAATATCTTATCGAGGGCTTTATCAGAGAATGTGTTCTCCCACATGCTGCTTCACACAAAGCAGACAGTGAAGCTTTCCATTCAAAGCTAGAGTTGACTTGTCTTGTTCTAGCAACCAGGAGAGGTGGGAAAAAGGGAATAAGAGTCAGCAGTGTTTTCAGGAACTTGTGCCTGGTGGTAGCCAGACATAAGCAAATGCACCTGTCTGCCTGGTCTTTTCTTTATTGGTTGCAATCTGTAGTTTTGTGAGGTTGTGGTTTGGCTGAAGCTGTATGTTTAGAAGATGACAGAGGTGCTGCAGCTGTTGGTGAAGGAAGGCTGTGAGCATTTAGTCACACCTAGTGGAAAATTAACTCCTAAACCAAAACAAAGTAAAGGAGGTAGAAGCAAAATACAAGCAGGCAACTATCTGGCAAACAGACAGCAGCAAGGAGAATGTGACTGGAGTTTAGGCAAGCTCTTTTGTCTTTCCCTTCCTTATGTATAGGTAAAGAAAGAGAGATGAAGAGGATGGTTGGTGCAGCAGGATTGTTGACAGTGTGGCAGAGGCAAAGATGACTGGATGCAGAAGCAACACTTGAGTAGTGACCTGCTGGAAAAGATCTAGTTATGTAGTGTGACCTCATCCACGAAGTGAAGATGTGTCTGGTTGCAGTGACAGTTCCCAAACAGAGATGAGGGACATGGTAGGTGAGAGGAAGATTTGCATCTAGTTGCACAGACAGATAAAGACCTACCAAAAAGTCATAGGACTGGTCTTTAGACAAGGAGATATATTTTTTGAAATTACATGATCAGGTTAAAAAAATAGTAGAAGGAGAAATATCACATGGCTGGAAAGAGTTTTACAGTAAAAAACATGAGAAGTTGAGGGATAAATGGATAAGGGGTAAAGAAATACATAATTTTGGTGCATACAGTAGTGAGGCTAGCAACTGAATAAACCTAATCTAGATAGAGAGCTGGGCTAGATTACTGAGGAATGACTGAAGCATTTGTATATTGACACAACAAGCCTGGGCAGATAAAAGCAGGATTTGAGTTCATGATGCAAGACAGGAGATCCTTGAAAATACTAGAAAAATTGTTGAATTAACAATTCTGGTCATGAAATTTATGTTGCTGAGAAAATTTTTGTGTAGATATGGTCCTACATAAAGCATAAAGAGCAAGTGGAGCTGATATTTAGTAAGAGTGGTACAAAGATTTGCAATAATCTACTCAGGGGCATAACATTAAATCAGTAATTTGCCTAAATTTACTTACAGTAGAGACAATGGTGTTGAAACAGCATGTCTGATAGGAATGAGATTGTGGAAATAGAAATTGTCGCTTGGGAGATGGAGCTAAACTGAGAATCCTACCTACAGACTGAGGAAACTAGATAATTTCTACCCCCACTTGGAAGAACTGACATATAGAAGTACAAATCCAGAAAGATTCATGTGGTATTGTACATCCAAAGAGTGGAAAAGGTTGTACCTACACTTAAGAAGAAGGAAAAATGGGATAAGGACACAAAAATATTTATTTTTCTTACATCAGTAGTAGATGAGATGTTAGAATAAGTATAGAGAAAAAATATTTAAAGACACAGAGCTAAATAGGAAAAAGCATAAAGCACAGCTTACGTGAATCAAGGGTAGATTGTGTCAGACTAACTCGGTATCTTCTTTTATGATATAAGTGATTTTTTACTAAAGTCCAGAAATGCATTTCCTCCCTTTGTAAAATCAAAATATAGAATGAAAGTTTTTAATAACACTTTACAAAATAAGGATGAAGCAAGAAATTGCTGATCTGTTAAAGGAACAACTGAAGGAGAATTTAGTGACCAATGTTGCTAAGGGAATTCTACAGCTAAATGGAGGATCTCAGAGTTCTTCAATTATCATTCTTGAGAACAACTGCATTTAGCTTTTTTCATTATCAACCTTGCCGCAAAAAATAGTAGAGAAATCTTGCTGATGAGGTTGCACATAGTTGTTAATGACATACAGCTGGGAGGCACTATCAGTACAGAGAAAGGCAGAGACAGCTTCAGTAGACCTGAAGACTGAAACAGCAATCATGTGAAGCACAGGCAATAAGAGGGAGCAGAGACAAAACTGGAGTGTAGACCTAGAAGTGGGGTTAGTGCTTCCAGCTCCAAGTAGTTTGTACATATCTTATAATTACCATCAGTACTGCCTGGGACTCTTCATTTTCCCAGAACACCTAGGCTAGCAATCTTTGGTAAATCTCACATACAATTCTTAGGCAAGGTTTTGTCTTATTTTTCTACTTTTCCTTTATCCTTCCCATTCATCCCCTTTGCACATCAGGGAACTACTGCTGCCTATTTCTGACACCCTGTGTAGAATCATGGAAAAAAAAAAATCTGTAAATTTTAAAAAATATCATTTTTCATTAAAAAAAAAATCCCATTGAACTACATTCACCACCACTGCAAGTTCATGCTCTCATGCTCTTCTACTGAAAGACACCGGCTTCAGCAGCCAGCATGACCCAAAGCATAAACTCTGTCTAGTCAGCTAGAGAAAATAATTAGGATAATCTGTATGCACATGGTTCATGATCATCTCTTCTTCTCGAGTAAAAAGTATCAGAAAACTTGGTTTGATTTTTAAAGAATGGGATGAGGTTTAGTTCTAATCTGACAGAAATTACAGTCATTATTCACCTGACTTGTCAGAAAGTAAGCCCTCTGCAGGTCAGAGTTTGGGAGCTTCTGGAACAGCTCAGATCATTGGACTTGGCCATGGTAATTTCATGTCATGTACTTAAAGCAGACTTCCTGACTCACTACATGACTAATTACTGCATGATGTACATGTACATTATGCTTTCAGAAATTAGGCTGTTTCTCCGTGTAACATGCTTAAAGTAAAATATGCCTTACATGCTGTCATGAATAACTGCAAAATGTCTTGCATGTTTGCTACACCACAGATGCTTGAAAACCTTGCTAATCAGATACAACATCATTTACATGCTTAGCTTCACAGTAAGGCTGTCTTTGTATGTATCATTACACTGGAAGGAATTCTGTATCACATAACCCAATTAGGTGAGACAATTACAAGCACATTTATTTATGCTATTTTGCTCGTTAAGCAGCCCTCCTAAACTAGCAGCCCTGCATCTATTAGAAATGATGCATCAGCTATGCATGTGTTTATGTCCGTATGTGCATGTATATTTATATCTTCATAAAAATATCACTGCAATGTCCTACTTTCAGACAGTTCCATAAATTCTCAGAATACATTTACAGTGAGGAATAAATTGAATTGTAAAACACAATCAAATTACTATGCACTGCATGAAGTATTGACTGAGAAATTCAATACTCTAGGAACAGTAGTTTATGAAGCAAAACAACAGTAATTGTTCTGCTTCTTTGAGCAAAATTCTGCATGCTTTACTCCTATATTTTTTTCAACTCAGTGGGATTTCTTGTGGAAAAAAGATTGAGAAGTATTTGTTGTGTTCTTCCATTTGATTCAGGCAGATTAGCAGATCCTTCCCATGTGACTTCCTGTGGTTATGAAGGTGAAGACCTCCTGTGCATATCTGTAAGAAGCTGGTGGTCCTGTAAGTATATGGTATTACACTGTTCTTCAAAATATGATTAGTGTCCTAGAAGGCAATTTAGAATCCTTTTTCCCCTTAGACTTGTGTATTACAAAGTCATTTCAGTGTTACATAATTTTCCATCCAAAAGTTGCAGCAAGACATATAAGCACGAGTAAATGAAAGATAATTGACTTCGGTAAGTTATTTGAGGGAGGAAAAAAATGCATATTTTCAGCCTTAAAAATGTTTGATGGGTATCTATATCTGTAGACATTTGTAGAAATCACAGTTTTCAATTACTCCAGAGCAGAGTTGTTCAGTTTAAAAACTGAAGTTTAGTTCAAACTAAAACAGTGTGAGAATTCCTTGTGTCACCTTGGTGTCAGATACAAATCTGACAGGATGTTTCTGCCTTTGGTCGCACCTCCACAACTTCACTGTGTCCAGTAGTAGGCTACAGAGAATGAAATAAAGGGAGACTTTGTGCCCATGATATACAAATAACTTAATTATCTTCACTACAGTGACATTTATCCCACCGGGTTTCAGGTATTCAGCTAAAACTTGGTTAATACTTTGACCTGGTGTACATGAGCTACAAGGCAATTTTTGTTCACTTTAATGTTGGCTTTGGAGTTATAGTAGATTGAAATTCTGGTTTGGTTTTTTTTTTTTTTTTTCATTATTCTAGTAAGTAGCAACTAACTGAAGATAGTGACAAAGAGAGAAGTGTACAGATCTGAATTTCCACTGTCAATGCCCCTGACATTTTCAGTGCTTTCCTCAATTTCTCTAAAAATACACATCCAGATAATTCAATCTTTCCAAAAATGGAAACATCCAAAATTCCTGGATGCTTTTGATAATTCAGGCCATTCATATGTTGCCCTGTTGAACTGGAAGGATCAAGTTAATACATGGTTTCTCTTAGCCTGAGAGACACAAGAATTTAATTTGTAAAAATATATATCATAGGTGTAACAGGAGAATGGGTCTATCCATTACACCTAAGTACATATGTATTGCAGGAATCAGTGTCTTCTCAATGATGGTAGTATCAGATTTAAAATCACCTTTGCAGTAGGCAGTGCAGAGAAAAGACACAGTGACCAACTCTACTGCAGGATCAGCTGTGAGCTAACTCAGCCATATGTGCTGTTGGCATCACTCCTGATAGATGTGGCAGAGCACCTTATCCTCCTGTGGGACATAAGGGTAAGTCCACTGCCAGGATCATGGGAGAAATAATAGTGTGTGAGACAGGATCCTATAACCATGTTTTTACATAGAAAGGATAAAATGTTATTTCCACTTCTGTCTAAGAGCTTTGCAGAAGAGGAAAGGAGGGAATCTGGAATGCCACATGCAACTCAAGGGTATACATTTATTGTTGCGCAGGGTAGCCCAGTGAATAAGACTTGTAGCATCAATAGAAAAAGCACCCATACTACAGTTCTCCCTGTCTCAAGTTCAAGAACATGTGCCTATTCCCCTCTGGTATTTTTACATCCAGTGTCTATATAGAAACAGTCTCCTCATACAACAATGCATACCTGGATTTCTGCAGAGTTCATTTTACAAAGCTAATTTTTTCTAAGCCCATGAAAAAATTTAAATAACCATTATATTTTGTCCTTTGATTAATCAAAAATAATAAATTAATTTGCCTACACAAATTGAATACGTCCAAATAGAATCCCCCAAATAGTGATTTTGCTTCCATTGTTCAAAACCTGAATGAACAGATTATTTAAAGAAAAAAGATTCACTTTATCTCTAATTTGAGTCAAAGTCAGTATTTTTAGATCATGTTTTCTGAAGCTGGAACTCCGACTCTTTTAGAGAGTTTATCTTCTATTTTTAAAGAAATGGAACTGACAGATAGGGTGGAGGGAAGAAAGACAGGACCAACCTATAGATTACAATCACTACTTATATCTGAAAGCAATAAAATGATGGAAATATTTTTCTTTGTAAGGAGGTAAAAGGCCCTGTAAGTCCTCCAGTTTAAATATTCTTTTCCTTCTGAGGGATGGGAAAGTCTCATGTTCTTTTTCCTGTAGCACTTTTTCCCTTCATCAGTTCTGTCCCTTGCTCCCTCATCTTCCCTACTGTCCTGTCACAAGTGTCCCTTCCCACCAGACCTGATGGCAGTTTTTAGCACACAGCTCTGTCCCTTCCTTGTCACATGAATACTTTGTTGTAGAGGCCCTTTGAATGAAGCTTCTGCCTGTGAGCCAGCAATTAAATGTATATGTCTTCAAGTGAACAAAGGCATAAGCACAGAGTAAATTTAAAATGTAAATTTAAAGTAAAACTGAAGCTCACTGTGATACTCATCCCAACTTCAGTTTCCCATCTCTGTGGGTGGCTAGGACTAGATGCTCAGTGGGAAGCTGTCCCATGCAGTGACAAGCAGCAAGGGTCAACGCATAGCCCTGTGCAAGCTGGGGACCTTCCTGGAGTAGAAACCACTACCTTTATTTTCTCAGTGTTTGCATTCCTACTCTTCACTTACTTCTAAACTCTGCACGTTTGCTTGATAACAATTTTGTTGCCTCTAAATATGTATAAACTCAGCTTTGATTTACCCTATTGTAGCAGGAGCAAGAAAAAAGTCTTTCAGACTGCGCAGAAATGTCTTTTACTGTTCAGAGGATGGAAATGTAGGCCTTCAGGGCAGCTCTCTCTGGCATGAGTAGTCATATGAAGCCAGAAATGAGCTTAAACCAGACACATTTAATGCACCCCAAGGTGTATGAGATCTCCATGCTTAAGAACGTCAGCCCTTTTTGCCTGGAATAATATTCAGTATAGTCTTTTCCTGCATTGTTTTCAGCCCTACAAGCCACCAAAGCAGGTACAAATATGTAATATATACAAGCTCACTTAAAAGAATGTAAGTACTTTCTAACATGAAATCCAATTTTCAACGCTTCTCATTAAAATAGTGAACAAGGAACAAGGCCCAGCTTAGCAATGACTAGCAGTGCGACACCGTCTTCTTATCAGGGGAGACTTTTCCTTTGCTTTTCTAACTGTCCATATAGTTCCTCCTGAATTAGCAGTCAGGCCCACATACAGGAGGTAGAACAATGGTTTCCCATGAGTAGGACAGGAGTATGTGGTAGGTGGTCAGGTTTTGATGGTTTTAGACCTTGCTGCTGAGACTGTGTACAAAATACATGGGCAGTGCTTGGCCCTGAGACCAAGCATGAGCAAATGACTTCTCAGCGCAACATGTCAGGACCACCCACCCAAGAGGGAGAACAACTGGTCTCCAGGCTCTTCTTGACTGGAAGTTATTAAATTTTATTTCTACAAAGACAACTCAATTAAAAGGACAATTTAAAATCCTCCTTTCAAATGAGGAATATCAAATAGCTCTACAGGCACTCTCACTGGAGCTGAGGTTCAGCACAGGTGAGAACTGAACCTGGGTTTCCTACATGCTGGGTCTGACTGCTTCAATTTATGAATCAGACCAAATGAAGCTGTCAACATAAAATAAATCAAAGCAAACAAACAGAAGTAATTTCCAAAAAAATCTTCAGTAAGTGAAATCTTTTTTAAAAGCAAAATTATTATTATTTTCCAGTAAAATATCACCAGTTTGCCTTTTCCTTTCTTATATGCCTAGGATGCATAGAACAGGATTTTTTAAAATTAAAACAATATTCATGGGGTACCCCTTACTCTTTCTGTACTTAGCTTACAAGTAATGTTTGAGAGACTTTTGATGTCCTGTCCATGACAATCTATAAAGATCTTTTTTCAGCTCTTTGTACTTTCCTGTAAAATATAGCACGCTGTCAGCTCATGCAAAGCTATTAAAGCACAATATAAACATGAATATTACAAATCATACCTAAATTGATGCAGATGGCATCATCCGTGCATTTCAGTACATGTATCCCATTGTTGAACACAGCTGTATCAGTGGCAATTTGAAATGGTTGCATTTAGTATGAGAGAGTGTTCATTTCTCTATGTGGGAATTTTTCATTTGCTTGTGATTCTCCTTTTTAATTATTGTTACAGGTATTAATTACTATCTGGCTGTCATACCCTTTCTGGGGGCAGTGGAGGCTGGCCTCTTTGGGCAGCTGCAGTATGAGATAGAAATATTGCCACCAGAGAAGAGAAGAGCTGATTTCTGCTATAGTGTTGCCAACTGCCGGTCTCGCATACCCAAGCTCATGGATGACTGGAAGGCCTATTTTGAAGTAAATAATTTTACTTTTTTTTTTTTTTTTCTTAGTTTGCCGGAAATAATACCAGAATATTATCTTTAAAAACTATTATTACTGTTATTTGTAAGATTCAGAGATCTTGGTTTGCTTTCAATAACAGCTTGATGTAAAAGTAACAAGCAGGAAAAATGAAAAGCACAACGTAGTGAATCAGAGGTAAGAAGGCCAGGAATTTTACAGGTTATGGATTTTTTTCCTTCCTTTAAGATAATTGTCTATTTTCTAGCCTGACCCAAGAGACTCTTTTGTTAAAAGTTATATTTGTATTCTTCCCATACTGCTTATATTAGCAATGCAAAATAAACATATGAAATAGAACATTACCCTTGAGAAATGGCCTTGAGTTGGTTTTATAAGGTTCATTTATTCATTTAAACATCTAAAAAACTGAAAATGATGAAACTTCATTCAGAAGGACCCTGATTTGTGCAAGGAGATAGTCTCTTTCCTCCTCATTCATCTGTTCCCTAATCCCAAATATGACAATATTACTTACTTCAGAGATTCGATAACTATTTTTATAGATAAAATCTTATAATTAACATTTTTTGTTGGTAGTCAGATCATAGAATCATAGAATGGCTTGGGTTGGAAGGGACCTTAGAAGATCATCTGGTTCCAACCCCCCTGCCATGGACAGGGACACCTTCCACTAGCCCAGGCTGATCAAAGCCCTGAACAACCTGGCCTGGAACACTGCCAGGGAGGGGGCAGCCACAGCTTCTCTGGGCAACCTGTTCCAGTGTCTCACCACCCTCACAGCAAAAAATTCCTTATATCGAATCTGAATCTACCCTCTTTCAGTTTAAAACCATTACTCCTCATCCTATCCCTACACTCCCTGATGAAGAGTCCCTCCCCATCTTTCCTGTAGCCCCCTTTAAGTACTGGAAGGCCGCTATAAGGTCTCCCTGGAGCCTTCTGTTCTCCAGGCTGAACAACCCCAACTCTCAGACTGTCCTCATAAGGGAGATGCTCCCGCCCCCTGATCATCTTCATGGCCTCCTCTGGACCCAGTTGAGCAAGCCCTTATCCTTCTTATGTTGGGGGCCCCTGAGCTGGACACAGGACTCCAGGTGGGGTCTCACAAGAGCAGACTAGGGGGGGAGAATCACCTCGCTCAAGCTGCTGGTCACACTTCTCCTGATGCAGCCCAGGACACGGTTGGCTTTCTGGGCTGAGAGCACACATTGCTGGCTCATACTGTTTTCCATCCACTAATAGCCCCAAGTCCTTCTCTGCAGGGCTGCTCTCAGTCCACTCATTGCCCAGCCTGTATTTGTGCTTGGGATTGCCCTGACCCATGTGCATGGCCCATGTTGCCCTTGTTGAACTTGATGAGATTTGCATGGTCCCACCTCTCAAGCCTGTTAAGGTCCCTCTGGGTGGCATCTCCCTTCCCTCCAGTGTGTCAACCTCACCACACAGCTTGGTGTCATTGCTGAGGGTGCACTCAATGCCACTGTCCATATCTCCAACATGTTAAACAGTGCCGGTCCCAGCACTGACCCCTGAGGAATACAGCTTGTCCGTGCTCTCCACTTGGACATCAAGCCGTTGCTTTGAGCCATCCAGCCAATTCCTTATCCACTGTGTGGTCCATCCATCAAATCCATGTCTCTCCAATTTAGAGACAAGGATCTCATGTGGGACAGTGTCAAATGCTTTGCACAAGTTCAGGGAGATGACATCAGTTGTTCTTCACTTGTCCAACAACACTGTAACCCTGTCTTAGAAGACCACCAAATCTGACAGGCACAAAATGCCCTTAGTGAAGCCATGTTGGCTGCCACCTATCACCTCCTTATTTGCCATGTGCCCTATCATACATTCCAGGAGGGTTCGCTCCATGTTCTTATTGGGCACAGAGATGAGACTGACTGGCCTGTAGTTTTCTGGGTGTTCTCTATTTCCCTTTTTAAAAATTGGGGTTATCTTTCCCCTTTATCAGTCAGCAGGAACTTCACCAGACTGCCACAGTTTCTCAAATATGATGGATAGTGGCTGAGCCACTTCATCCATCAGTTCCTTCAGGACCCTTGGCTGCATCTCATCAGGTCTTCATGGTTTCTGCACCTTCAAGCTCCTTACATGGTCTTGAACCATCTTCTCCTACAGTGAGACAATCAAATTATTGATAATATAAGAAAATTTAAACCATAAGTCCCTCTTGGCAACTGTTAGTGAAGGTGGAGGTTTTAGGAGCAAGACTGGATTTGTTTTCTTAAGACTATTTTTCCTAAGCAGTATGTTTCAGAAGTTATTATAGCAGATTTACTCATCAAATAGTAATGGTAATAACCATTAAGGATAATTTTCTTACTTTCTGAAAATCTTCAGAAAGTTGTAGCTGAAAGAGTATAAACAGGTTTTCAGGGAATCCAATATTTTAACACAGAAGTTTCCATGGCACTCAGATGCTAAAGTCCACTGAATTATTGTAGAAGAATACCTAAATTATGTGGATAAAACCCTCATTCTGTTGAAGGCAAAGAACTACAACTCCTATTAATTTCAGTGGGGATATGTATTTACTTTATAAATCTATATTAATCATCTTTTTGTCCCTATATCAGACATTATAATTACTTGCAAAGTAGCACATTCTAACTACTCAAAAGCTAATTTCCTTAGCTTACAAACTTACTATTTTGTGAGGTATATGCATGTCTAAAAAATCCATTGGGTTTAAAACTCTCCCCTGTTTCTCTGACTTTTTTCCTCCCTGTTGCTGCAGTATCTGATATCTACAGAATACAAAGCCATGAGCCCTGCAACCTCCTCCTTCAAACTGGATCATGCCCTTCACCTCATGTGGAAGGCACACATCGCCTCCATTGCTTACGCGTTGCCCAAGTTCCAGGACAGGTATGGGGATGAGAGATGGCCAAGGAGGATCTTCCCACCTGCATGCCTTTTTGGAAGGATAGTATCACAAGAAAGCCTGCATGAGCTTTCTTACTTTAGGCCTCTAGTTTTTAGTCTCTGCTCTTCCTTTTGCTCTCTTGGAACATGGGATGACCAGCAAGAGATCACTGCCCAGGCTATGATAGGTGGGGAGGCTGTGGGCTTAAAATGAGATGCTGATTCCTCTCTGGGAGCCAGCGCCTTAGTCAGGAGCTGTGTTTAGTCTGGGCAGAGGCAGTGATGACAGGAAAAATTAGGTGTGAGATGCTGAAGGAGGCTTTAAGTCCCTGGCACAGAGATCACTCAGGTTTTCATACTGAACAAAACACATTTGGGATATATGATTGACTAACATGTTCTATAGGGAATTTCAATTATCAGTTACACTTTTCTTTTTATCTCTTTCAGATTAAAATATCTCTCTGATCCAGAAGCAAATTTTGGTGAAGCCTGGGCTGATTCTGTAGATTTCATTGCAGCCACACACTTCACTACAGATTTACTGACCACAAATAACTTCCAAGCTTTCCTGCCCCAGAGGATGCTCGTTGAAGGAGATGTCGTCCCATCCATTAGTGACTTCAGTCCACAGCAAAACAGAGTCCTGCTTTCAATGAGCACTCTTCACAAAGCTAATCAATTAACAGGTAGGAGCCTGACCTACAAATGTCTGTAGTCCATAGATATTTAATGCCTTGTTCTCTTTCTCTATACCTTTCTCCATATGAGCACAGTGATTTTTGGTATAAAATAGTATAAACACTTCCTAGAGATAAAACAGTACAGCTAAAAATACAACTATAAGCAAACAAAACACAAGACACCAAATGCAGCGATGGGATAACACTGATGATATGCAGTGAAGTTTTCACATGAGATGAATGAATTGTTTGTTGGAGCAGATTATCTTACTTTTTTTTTACTCCAGTTTTCGCAGGAACTTTAAAAACACAGACAATATTTTGTGTTTCATCAGTTAAATCTGGAACCATGAAAGCTGTAAATGAAGTTCTGTGATTTTGTGAAGCTGTTAGATCAGCTGAGGTCATTACAAAAATGACATGAACAACAATCTGTGTGTCCACACGTATTCTAGTTTTGTTTTTTTGGTTTTGTCTCAATCCTTGATTTAACAGAGAATATCATCTGTCCCAGCAAAACTGTATTCTTAGTCAATGCTGGCTTCATCACGTTCACTAAAATAAGTTGTGCATCACCATCCAGCGGTGACACTCAGAATTACACTCTTCTGAGGTTCATTCGTAGATACTGCTGTATTGGATGTTTTTGTTTGACCTTTGTGAAGGAACGTTACTTTGAATTTTTAAATGAAAATACAATATTGAAAATACACTGAAAGACTAGCATCCAGACCTATGGCATTTGTTTTGTGATCCTCTTCTCCTGTCCATAGATTTCAGTGAAAATTCTCTCACTAGTAGTATTTGTAGCTGAAAAAAAGATGTGTGATGATATTCTTTGTTACAGAAGAGCATCCTCACATCACAGAGTGCTCCCCTCACACCTTCCACATAGAATTATTCCTCGAAGTCTGAATAAGAATCTTAACAGCTCTATCCCAAGCCTTGTAGTCTATGCCCACAGTTGACCTACCTCCAGGAGGGGAGGGGGGCACAGCAAGGAAAAGCTCAACCAGAAGGGCAGCAAGGAGGGAGTAGAGCACCAGGGCAACAGAGCAGATGAGGGCAGCTCTGGAGGGAGAAAGGAACAGAGGCATGGATGCTGAACATGGTAGAGGGAAGGAAAGAGGGCTGAAGACACTTCATGCAGTTGAAGTCATAATGAAGTCCATAGCTGAAATCCCTCGTTTTGCAGGTGGGAGATTTCCCTGACTCTGCTTTTAAGGGATGGGCTTTGCATTCAGCTGAGAGTTAAATGCCAGATAACTCAAACTGGTGACTGCCTTGTTTATCAGAAAAGGAGCTTTAAACTAAGTTCGACTTGGGTCTGGATCCACAGCCTCAGTGGGGACCTGAAACACTAGATCTTATTGTTGCAAAACTTGGACGACAAAATGTGACATACTGTTTCTGTAGAGTTAAATCCCTCAAACTTGTAAATGCATTCTGTGAGATGTAGATTCCTCTTCCAGTGCTGCAATCTTCAATAGCAGATAGAGGGTCTCAGTACCTCTCAGGACAGGATCCTGTCCAACTCAGCACGAGATTTGATTTCTTGATTCAGAGGTTGATTATTTACCTTTAGCTCCCTCTGCCAGTCCAGCGGGGACCTGTACTGAGAGAGTGCTGTGCTACCTCTAAAACTTCTCAACTCATGAACAGTCAGAAGCTTTATTTTTATGCTCTGACCCTCACCAATATCCAAAGGCAGAACAGCAGATGCTTTGTGATTCGAGATCTTTTCTGCTGTCCTCATGTTTCGTGTAGTCCTCCTGTGGTCCACCTAGGCAAGAGGATCATTTGCTGCCTTCTCTTAACTCCTCACCTCCCTTGTACAATACTGTGCAAAATCAATTCTTCACTGTTGACAGTTTAATACAAAAGGATGTTTAGCAGGAGAATAAACTCCTCTTGGTTTTCTAGTAGATTTTTTTTACCCTAACATTTTCTCTGTGGACCCTTTATCCATCATAAATATCATCAGTGAGAGGAGTGGAGAGCAGGCAATGACTATCCTGCAAACTGGTGCGAATGCTGGACTGCTCATTGCCTGGATTAAAGTATCAGGATCATTTTCTTCTTTAGCTTGAGGCCTCAGTTAGCAGAAGTGCAAATTCTTGGTTGCTTTCAGAGTAAAAACAATGATGTGTATAATTATGACTACCAGGCCACTGCTTCATAAGCCACGAAGCTATGTGCATTTGCAGAACAAGACCTTAACATGTGTCTTAAATCATTTTGACTTGCAACCCTGGTGACAAGGGAACAAGACCAGTTGTCTATCAATACAAAGGATTCTGAGCTGAATGAATGTCCTGCATCTCCCTACACAGCTGTAGGCAGTTATTACCCCATTGGCACACTCCAGCTTTGTCTACATTTCCCTGTCCATGGGAGAGTGATGGGTGTTTGTTGCCAGACGTGTGCTTCATCCCTGGTGTGCCGTGAGCTACATGGGCTCCATGTTAATTTGACCATGTCACGTTGTGTTTCCTTCCAAGGAGGACTGCTGCTGAAGCTCTGGCAAAAGGTAATGTCTACTGAAGCAAGAAGAAAAATGGGCCGCAAACTGATTGAATGCTTGGTTTCCGGCAAGAAGTTTGACCCAGTGGAAATATATAATGATTTGAAAGAAGCGGACTTGACAGTGCCCCGTTTCTTGAGAAAAAACAGTTCCAACATTGATTGATTTAATCTTTTATCAGATATGGATCTGGTAATCTGGCCTTGGTAATTTCTTACAGCAGGATTTCCTGAGTAGCCATGTGTGCATCTGTCTCATATTGAATCAATATTTTTATCCTTAATTTTCCTAATTATTTCATTTGTCTAACTCATTTCCTTATAAATAAAATGACTCACAGAATTTTTTTTTTTTTTAATTTTATAAATAATGTATCATTACTGGAGACAAAATTAAATAAAGACAAATTATATTCTGTTCCAGACTGTTTTTTTCCCTGTGTACAGGGATCCCACCAGATATTTAATTACTCGGCTCCTTGATGGTCTAACAGATGATCATCCAAAACTTTTCTTTGAAGTTCTGATCCAAAACCAGTGCCCTGACTGCTTCTCACAGAAGCTGTTATTTTGCAGACCAGCTGCAATCAAATTTGAAGCTTTCAGTCTTATCAGATTAAAAGCTTGAGTACAGATGGATTCCCTCAGAATGCTGCTTTGCAGTGAGGAAAGACTTTATGTGGTACCGTGGAGCCAGTCCTGAGAAAAGTCCTGAAGCAAATGAGCTTATTCTGTAGGAGTTCTTACATGACCAACAGAGATTTCTGTTATTTGATTCATTTCACTTACCTCAAGAAAACATTGATCTATCTACCAATTTATGTGATTACATAGTCTGCATAGCCACAGGTTGCTTTTCCATTCCCTCATGTCTAATGCTTCTTGTTGCAGTGTGTCATATGTCAGATTTGATTACTGAGGAAGAGATGCATTCACACCGCTTGCACTCCCAATGCCTGGTGTGTTCAGACCCAAGTGCTGATCCAAGTCTTGGGATCAGAGGTTGTGAAGAAGTGGGACAGGTGTCCTGCAGGCAGACAGGGGTTGAAGTTTCTTAGGAAATCTGCTGACTTGGATCCTCAATCCTTATGAAAACTTCCCCTGGAAAACAGTCATGACTGGATCTCCCTTTCCATGGTGGAGAGCAGGGGATGGCCACTGCCTATCAGATTATAGCTTGCACTACAGCATAGTTAAAAATAACACAAGCCTTAAACTCATAATTCAAAATGAAAGCAAGCAGCTTTGCTTTGTCACCATTTTAGGTCTGCCTCACAGACCTAACATCTCGGTAACCCTGTCCCATATTCCTTGCTCAGGAGAAAGGCATGTGCCACTGACTCTTCTGCTGCAGCACAGTATCACTCTGTTGAGCTCACATACTACTTTTTGTTTGTAACTATTGCAGTGATAGCCTTTCTGACACATGTACAACAGTCAAAGGTTTTCCACGGGTGTTAGGGGTGAATTTTGGACTTTTTCCCCAGCACCAGAGTGGCTGAAAGAAACTCTCTCAGCCTTGGTGGCCGCTGAGCCAGGGCCCTTCCTGCAGGGACCCTCCAGCCGGCACTTTCCAAGGTGGGAGCATGGTGCCAGGGAGTGGGGGCAGCCTGTGGCTGCAGCTGTGGCTGATGGGTGTCCCTGCGCCTACACCCTCCCTGTCTCTTCTTGGTGCTAGTCATGCTCCAGGCAGTGGGAGAAACATTAGCTCCTTGGGGGCCTCCACACCTCCTGAATTATTAGCTGGATACCAAATAAATGAAGGAAAAGAAAATTATTTGTGTCTTCCAATTCCACTTTCCCAGCTTGAGTGGCTCTTACTCCCCAAACTTGCATGATCCTTGCACTGCAAAGTAAGAAACAATTATCAATACATTGAGCAGTTAAACACTAGTCTGTCCTTTAATGTCCCTGGACAAAGGTTTTAATTATTCATTGTCATTTTATGGATAAACCCTTAATGTACCATCATTAGTTAAGAGTTTTCAAAGGAAATACATTAATGAGGTCTAGGAAAATGTGGGAGTTTTTACCTTCATTACCTGGTCCATAGATTAGAGTAATTAGATTCCAACAGGCTTTAGATATAATCTAATAGTAGTTACCGCAGATGCCAGCTACTAAAAGATTAAGTTAATTGTACTCCAGAAAAGTTTGGAAAAAAAATTTTGGCCTTTCTGTGGTTAACTTAGATTTAACATAAGGTGCACTTGAGAAAACAAAAAGACCCATTAATACAAATAGGGAAAACAAACTTACAAATAGCAAACTGCTGCACTTGAGGGGATATTTGTAACATATTTTTAAAAAGCAAATCTCTCCTTACCTGAATTTATGATAACATTAGCAAATACTTCAGTATTTTGAAAAAAAAATATCTTTCTCAATAGAGCATCAAGCATTTATGCATTTCTGACACTTTGTCTTAATCCACTATGCCAACTAGTCAGGCAAAGGCTTTAGAAACTGGCTAGCAATTGCATTTTGGAGATTAATGCATGTATTAAAGTTTAGAGAAAACATGGGATAGTGGATTCTCAGAAGCAGGTCAGATACAGATATCTTGAAACAGAGAAGATGCATCCTAGTAAGAAAATATATTGGCATCAGAAGTAAGCAGAGAGAAACATATCAAGAGAAGGCACTATAGGTATGGTGGGATGTCTCTGGAGAAGGATGGGCAAGCACCAGAGGAATCTGATAACAGCAGAGGAAAAGCTTTGCCCAGCAAGGAGGACTCACAGAGCAGAAGGGATTTTCTTACTCAGCATTAGTCTGGGGTTTTCAGCCCTGTTCTCATGCCATTTACATGTGTAATCTCTTTGCTGAGCACTGCTTGGTACTAAGAAGGGCCAGTTTCTGTCTGATAGAGGTGCTGTTAGAAGAAAGCATTAACAGAACTGGCTGCAGCTGTGGAAAGCCAGGAAGTTAAATTTCTCTAAGTGCTTGCAAATAGCGAGTCTAAGGGGATTGAAACAAACAACGTTTAGGAGGGAAGGTTAGGAATGGATGCATAATAAAAAAAGAACTTGGGAGAATAAAAATCTACCAGGAAAGAATCTGACCCTTTTCAGAGTTTGGGCAGTACTGCTGAACCCTGTTCCACAGCTCTGCAGGGCTGCTTGAGAACCACTGCCACCTTCTCCCGGGTCTACTCTACTCACACCCGTGGTTATCCAGGCTCGTTTCAGTCAGGTCAGCTCCTTATTTCTGAGAGATGTGCAGTTCTCTGTGCCTTTCCTACAGGAGTAGGATTTCTGAGGAATGGTTAGAAGTGAGGTTCTTGTCCTTGTCTACATGTTTGCAACTGTAAGCACAGCTACTGCAAAATGGGCCTGTGTTTTACTCCATATATTCTCCTAACTGTCACATAATAGACATATGTACGATCTGACCTCTTCAGCAATCTCCCTTTTTTGTTCCATAAGGGGAATGGCATCCTTCCTTTTCTCGGTCTTCACAGGGCTATAAACAGGTATCAGCAGTCACTGCTTTAGCTTTCTTAGGTATCAATACATAGAGCTTACAGAGCCTACATGCAAAAAGTTGTTAGCCAAAATGCTTTTTTATTTTTTTTAAGCAGGAATTGGGCTCTTGGGTTTCACCTTCTCTGTGATCCCTAATCTGTGCAGAATTTTTTGCGCTCTCTTCATTTCCAGTCTATGCTCTCTAACACATAATAAAGTGCTTTTGCTGGTGGGAAAAAGGACTCTCCTCGACACCTACCAGGTGTGGAGGGAGAACAAAGATGTTCTTGCTCTGGGCACCCTTTAGCCTGGCAGCCAGGAGGTTCTGCTGGAAAGCAGAAGATGTAAGTTTGGATCCCCCCGGGCAGAACACAAAAATGAACCTAGCATAAGTACTTTAACTGTTGGTGCATGACATTAAAAAAGACCCACACTTCCCAAAAGCAAACTGGTCAGCTACGTTTCACAGAAGGGCATGTTGCCTGCTCTCCTTGGCAGGGTGTTGTGAGCCATGGACCTCCAGTTCTTACTACTGAAGGTGGTGCGATTCAAAGTGATACACTCTTTTTACAGTATTCCCCTCACTCTAACATCAGTGACTCCAGGAGGAGCACGTTATCTTTTTCTGATTGTGTGTTGAGCCTTCATATACATAGTGCAAAGAGCTGGCACCTGAAAAAGGTCTGAAATTTATTTCAGTTTAATTTTTGAAGAAAAATCGCAGCTTGATACCACCTGTTTCACTGCCATTTCATTTTTGCCGTGATGCTGGACATCAGAGCACTTGTTGGGCTCTATTCTATTTAAGTTTGAAGTGCTTACAGCCTACATCCACAGAGGCGTTTAGGCTCCTAACACCCAATAGGATGTTGGTTTTGATAAGCCTTAAGAATTTAAATATGCTTGGAGATCTGAACCTAAACTCATTTTGGATCTTATCGTCTGTACTACAAATGAGACAAAATGGGCCATGAGGCATCTTAAGAATAAGTTGCATGGCATGAAGTGCAGCACTGCCCCAGGCAGGGGCTGGTAAGGATCCCTAGGCGAGACCAGGGGCTTCAGACCTGCCAGACTGCACCAGCTGGAAAGGGCTGCTCTAGCTGGGAAGCACAGACAGTTATCTAGAAAAATAATTTTTTAAAAAATTTTTGATTCATTGATAACCAAACTCTCCAGGACAGAAAATGCAATAGAAAAAAAAAAATCCTTGAAGTCTCCCACTTCCTTCTGCAAACCATTTGTAACTGTGGGAAAGAGTTGCATGAACTGTGGGTATGTTTGCAGGAAAGGACTGTGGCAGGTATGGTGCAACAGATAGCAGCAGTATAAACCAGCTTTGCGGACTGGAGAAAAGCCTTTAGAAAGAAAGGCTGTTTCTACCTCTCCTTTTGTGCGATGTTAAGCTCCAAAATGTTAAGTGATCACTAAGCAGAACAGACAGCTGGAATAAGGTGGAAAAAGAAGTCTTTGCTGACAACGTATCTACATTGCCCCATGAGGCAACCCCCTGAGCCCCACTCAGACCCTTCCTCTGCCAGGGGGCAGGACCAGGGGAATTATGGAGGAGCCTGTGTGTTTGCAAGAAAGAAGGATCATAACTTCTGAGGCTGTCCTAGGAAGAGCTACTGCTTTCCAAGGCTGGCCTGAGCTGCCAATGCTGAACCCAGAGCCTCAGGGACAACATCACCAGAGCATG